TGCCCTTGAGTTGGTCCTGACTCATAGTAACTCTGTATAGAGTATCTAGGAGTGGTTAGAGGGCGAACCGCCAACCTTGAGGTTACATTCACATCGGGCCTCCCGATGAAACCCTGTGAGGCAGTTGACTACTCTGTCCTTAGGGTTGCTATGAATTAGCATCTACTTGATAGTACACAACAGAACTCTTCTAAGCATTTAACCATATTGTACCTTGGTGGCTCTGTAGGATAAGCACTAGACTGCTAACCCCAAGGTTGGCAGTTCAAACCCACCAGCCACTTTGCTGGAGAAAGATGAGGCTTTCTGCTCCTGTAAAGATTTACAGCCTCAGAAATTCTCCTCTTTGAGTCAGAATCAACTGGATGGATGGCAATGGGTTTGGTTTGCAGTTAAAAATACCCCACCCTTCAGTGACTTCCTCCTGACAAACGTGGCCCATTGCTAGGGAAGGGCAGTACTTATTGTTGTTGTTAAGTGCCGTCAAGTCGGTTCCGACCCATAGCGACCCTGTACAGGGTTTCCGAGGGTGTAAATCTTTACGGGAGTAGAAAGCCTCATCTTTCTCCCGCGGAGTGGCTGGTAGTTTCGAACCGCTGACTTTAAGGTTCGCAGCCCGATTCGTAACCACTACGCGCACAGTACTTATGTTGTTTGTTGTTGTTAAGTGCCGTCGAGTCGGGTCCGACCCATAGCGACCCTGTACTTATAGGGGGTTAAAAAACAAACAACTCCAAATCCTTTGTATTTACCTCTCTAGGCTGGCTGTAGGATAAGCACTGGGCTAACTGCAAGGTTGGTGGTTCAGACCCCAAAAGATGAGGCTTTCTGCTCAAATAAAGATTTGTTGTTGTTGTTAAGTGCCGTTGAATAGGTTCCGACCCATAGCGACCCTGTACAGGGTTTCCAAGGGTGTAAATCTTTACAGGAGTAGAAAACCTCATTTTTCTTCTGCGGAGCGGCTGGTAGTTTCGAACCGCAGCCTGATTCGTAACCACTACGCTACCAGAGCTCCTTAAACAGCCTTGGAAATCCTATGTAGGTTACTCTGAGTCAGTATCGGCTCGATGGCAGTGGGTTTGACTGGTTTGGAGGCTGGGGGACTAGGAGAGAGTATACTGCAGTTGGTGGCTCACTGGTTAAAGTCTCAGCTACTAAAAGGCAAGCTGTTTGAACCCTTTGGCATAAAGATGTAGCAGTTTGCTTCCATAAGGATTATAAACTTGGAAACTCTGTGGGGCAGTTCTACTCTGTTATATAGGGTCACTATGAGTTGGGTGGCAGTGGATTTGGGGGGTTTAGGGTGTGATTATATAAGGGAAAAATAAAGGCTTCAACATGATCAGTTCTCCAGGTGCCTTCAAGAACCAGGTTAATTCTTTTCTGGTCTCATCTTGAACTTTCTTGCTATCTGTTTAAAGTCTTGAGCGTTAAGAGTGGAGATGACACCAGGCGGTGTCACTCTCCACCAACATTTCCTTCTTCCATTCTGGTTTACAAAGAGATGAGTAGCATGCCCTTGTCTCAGATGGCCCTGTTGGCCTTCTTTGCTTTGGACCCAGCAGCTCCATTACCGGAAGCTGGAACCACAGTGCATTCACTATTGCCTCCACACAATGTCCCCACCTGCAAGTGCCTTCCAGCCCTTAGGGGAGGAGTGAACGTTCCCCAAGAAGTGGAGGAGGCTGCAGCATATGCAGCTCCATCAGTTCAGGGATCTGTGGGTCTGCCTGGGGGAGATGTGAGGTGGGCTGGCGCTTGGCAGGCCAGGAGCAGCCCCAAGAACAGGAGAGATCCATGGCTTTGGTAGAGGTGGGAGCAGCCTTTCCCTTTCTGTGACGGAGATACATCCAGATGTAAGGTGTTTGCTCCTAGGTAGGGCAAAGACAGCAAGCTTATTCTGATTCAAGAACATACGTAGGGGCATGGATGGGCTTGTGACAGTTGAGTGAGGCTGGAATAAAGACTGAAGTAACTTGATGTTCAATCTCCTCCACTGCTTTACAGAGCTGGAAACAACTCTTTAGGAATGGTCTTATTCAGCGCCATGGTTCACAGTGAGGTTTGTGACTACAGTATTTCTGAGATACCTCTGGGGGGGATCAGAAGTGGGTAGAAGAGCCAAGCATGGTGACCCAGTCTGGGTTTTCAGGACACTGACTGCTGAAAGAATCCGAGAGAGGCTGGGATCCAAGGATCCACATAATTCAGCCTGAATCTTATTAATTCCCTCCTAGGTGCCCACTGTTGTGCGCGGTGCTCTGCATATGGTGTGAATAAGACAGACATTGGTCCTGCCTTCAAGTCGGGATGTATCTGGAAGCTGGGTCCTCATGGGACATGTAGGGTGTATGGAAATGTGTTTCTGCCGGTGTTGTTGTTGTTAAGTGCTGTGGAGTCGATTCCGACCCATAGCGACCCTGTACAGGGTTTCCGAGGCTGTAAATCTTTATGGGAGCAGAAAGCCTCATCTTTCTCCTGCGTTCCGAGTGCTGGTACAGGTTTTTCAACCAGAAAAACCCCTCCTGTAAAGGTGCGGGCAGCCTGAACTGGTGACCTTAAGGTTTGCAGCCCGATTAATAACCACAGTGCTACCAGAGCTCCATGTCGGTGTTGGGGTTCCTCAAATTAGGATGGAGAGTCAGGAAAGGCCTTCCTGAGGAAGTGAGTTTTAGTTGGTACTGAGTACAAGTCTGGCAGAGTGGAGGCCAGTGGCTAGAGCTTCTGAATTGCTTGCATTTAAGTGCTTGGTAATTGCTGGATAAGGAGCCTTGGTGAGTGGTGGTAAAGTGCTCTGCCACTAACCAATGGGTTGGCAGGTCAAACCCACCAGCCTCTCTGAGAGAGAAGGGTGCGGCCATCTGCTTCCATAGAGGTGTGCAGCCTTGAAACCCCATGAGGAAGTTGTACTCTGTCTCCCAGGGGTGCTGTGAACTGTAATTGACTCACTGGCAATGAGTTTGGTTTTGTTTAAATGTCAGAAGAATGAGTGAGTGAACAAGTGAATAAGGAGTGAAAGGTGTTCCAAACAGGGTGAAAGCCTAGTGGGAGAAAAAATCACTGCATTCAAGAACCCTAGGTAGATTAATTCTGACTTGAGCCTGGAGAGTAAAGGGGGATTCGGGTGAGGGGTCTGGATGGGTCAACTGAGGGGTGACTGTGAAAGCTTTAAACATGAGGGAAGTAGGAAGCCAAGGAAAGGCTTGTGGTTTGGCTTTTTAAATGAACAGAAACCGGCAGCCGGATGGTTCCTGGAGACAGGCAGCTCCTGTGAGTGTCTGTGTCTCCCCTGGTGCCTGACCTAGAGTGGCTCCTTGACCATCCTTCACTGATAATGGAAGAGGTGGACCTGGTAGGTGCTTCTTAAACCTAGGACATTTTCCTTTCAAGGTGGCCATGGGGTTCCGGACTTTAAACCTGAGTTGAAACACCAAGTGAACTTGTCTTGACCCAGGATGCTTGATATCACACCAGCCCTGAAGTGGGGAAGGGCAGAGAGACAACGACTCTCTTAGTCACCCTTCTGACCTGGTGGACCTGTGTGTGTGGCCAGTGAGGAGGGCCCCTGTCTGACGTTGTCTGAGTGGGACCGTCTTATGCCAATGAGTCAAAAACCAACTAGCAGGGGAGAGTTGGTCAGTCTGCTAGTCCAAGTGCCCTTTATCCTTTGGTTTTTCTGATAGCCTTGGTAGAGAGAGCTTATTGATAGATTGATCCCCACTCCTGTCTTCAGAGGGAAGAGGTGAAAGGAAGCTGCTTGGGCATTTGGGGGTCTTGGAGTGTAAAGGGGCTCCTGCTATGCCCAGAGTCTCTGCCCTTCCTCTTTGCCGTCTAGTGCTGGGGTGCCACATGTCCAGGTCACTGTCCTGGACAGGCATACTGTCACTGAGCTGTGGGCATTCCTACATAGCCAGATGGCGGCCAGCCGTGCTTGCCCGTCTCTCTGGACTCCTGCATTCTGAGTGCTGGTACAGGCTTTTCAACCAGAGAACACCCCTCCTGTAAAGGTGGGAGCAGCCAGACCAAGACCCAGACCTTGACTCTGACCCCTAGGATTTGAAGGACAGCTGTTCCTGCACTCCACACTCTGCTCTGGCCTTGCCAGGCCTAACCCAGGAGTGGAGACTCAGAATCAATGCTACTGTTGAGTCTTCTCTTTCCAAGGAATGACTGAGAGTATCCAACAATACTGTGGGGAGATGTGCAGTCGAGGAAAATATAAATGAGTTATATGAAAACAATTAAATGATTTTTTTTTGTGTGTGTGGATTCTCCTTGCTCCCAGTGTGTATGTATCAGACAAACAACTCTTCCCCACATCCTTTGAGGACGATCACTACGTACTCAGCTTTACTCCTGGGCTCTACTTAGCTGCAACTTTGGATCTCTTCATGCTTTGGCCTTGGGTCCTGACTTTATTTTTCTGCTGCTTCTCCTCCTTTTAAAGCTCCTGGTTCTGGATGCAGGGGACCCGCCGACCATGGCTCCCTTGTCTGCTCCTCACTATTCCAGATCTGCGGAATCTCGTACTCTGAGCGGCACTTCATTCATGCAACGTGAATACGTCTCTTATGGACGTGCGGATGATTACAGGGTGGATGGGTAAGTTTTGCGAGTGGCGCGGTGTCACGCAACCGTTTCAGACCTTGTGGTCCCAGTTGCTGTTACTTCATCAGCCTCCACCTATTGGGTTCTGAGTCCAAATGTACTGGTTTAGAAACGACAGCATCCAGGCCATGTGGGCCTTGCACGTTCGTGTGAAGAGCAAGGGGCTTGGTGGGTTACGGGGTGCTGAGTCCTGGCCCCAGCAGGCTACGGACTAGCAGTTGGGGTGAGGTGGGTGTAGGCCCATAGCTTTCCATTAAACAGTAAGAAAAACGCTTTATTGTAGGTTATATGTGAAATAAAAGCTCTTTTACTACCCTTTAAGTCATGCCGATCTTTTTGCCACCCGGAGAGCTGTCTGGCCTGGTGCTTTTCAGCATGGTGGAGGTACCTTGTCACTCACTCAGCTGGCACAGCAAAGCCGATCCCTTAGCAATCCAGTAGTCTTTAGACCGCTTGGAGGGTAAAAGGACAGTCACTACAAAGTTGGTAGAATGACCTAATTAAGGATACAGGGGTGAAAAAAAAAAAAGTTACTGGGTAAGTCCTGGTATGAAGAGCACTGCGCTGGTTCCAAATTATTCTGATGGGTTTCAGTTTATGCTCTAAGATGAGGATAAAACAAATGATTCTTTAGGCCCGTTCAGCTTGGACTTTGTGTAGCTATATGAGCTTTGTTTCAAGTTCTCTGCACTTAGGGTGTACATGATGTTCAGCAGCCTGTAGGTGTGTGGTGGATTCTGGGAGCACTGGACCAGGACCCAAGCCTGAGCTTTCAGTGGGACCCAGGGATGTTCAGTAGGTTGAATATCCACTCATTCACACAGCTGCTCATCCACCCATTCGTGCAGCTAATGTTCTCCCCATAGTACTAGCACTGTGGAACCTGTGATGGGTCAGGACAGCTGCAGGTGTTCCACCTTCAGAGGCCCTCTGGGACATCTGCTGGAAGCAGTTACTACTTTTGCAACTTCTTACTGTGGGTCTGCATGCGGGGGGCCAGCCTGGGCTGAAAAGGAGGTCCTGCCTTCAAGATGGCACTTGCTGCTTCTGGATCCGCAGGCACAGCAGCCCCAATCAGTGTGGAAGTTGGGCAAGATGACAGGGGACACCTCTGCCTCCCTCTTCTTACATTCACAAGCCATTCCCTGCATGGCCTCATGCCAGTTGCCCTGGTTATAGCCAGTACTTGAGCAACAGACCTCCCAGTGCTAGGAGACCAAATGCAAGAGAAAGCCAGGACAGTCTTTATATAGAATCTCTGGGTTTCTGGGACCCTGGAATTGAGACCATGGTCCTAAGCAACCCTTCACAACCTCCTCTAACCCTGTCCAGGCTTACCAGGGGCAGGTTCAAAGCCTGCATCCTAGGCAATTAATTGGTGTTTACCTGAGGAGTCTATGAGAAGTCTTCAAAAACTTTTTGGAAAAAGAGAATTAAGAGATAATGAAAAATTTTCATGAACTATTTGAAACCCCCTTATATAATACTGCATGAGGGTTCCTCCAGGTCTAGAGAAACACTTGAAGCATAACTAAACCTTTGGAACATTTACCTCTGAATTAATCAGAATGAACGCACTGTTGAGCAGAAAGGAGGAGCCCTGGTGGTACAGTAGTTAAAGCTCTGAAATCTGCAGTCAAATCGACCAGCCACAGTGTGGGAGAAAGATGTGCCAGGCTGCTTCCATGAAGATGTACATACAGCTTTGGAGAGCCTTGGTGGAGTTGTGCTAAGTTTTACAGGATCTCTATGAGTTAGAATCAACTCAACAGCCGTGGGAGTAATCTTTAGGGAAGCCAACGGCCACATTGCTCTCCTCTGGAGGGGCTGGTGAGTTTGGATCACTGACTTGTTAGCAGATGAGTGCTTTACCACCATTCTACCACTGTGGTGGTTATGTGATGTGGAGTCGGTTCCGACTCATTGTGACCCTGTACAGGGTTTCCGAGGCTGTAAATC